TGAAAATAATATGGATAAACTCTACCTGTCCATGATAAATACAACTTTCTCCCAAAGTGTAGCCAGTGTTCCTGGAACAATCCCACTTAAGAAGATCCAAAATCTTTGTATAAAAAGTGCACAAGTCTGTCTTGTGTATAAAAATCTTTTAACCTATGTGTATCTTATATTCAAAAGAATTCACACTACTTGAGTACATTAAAAGAGTTCCAAAGCACACACCATATGTGTGTGTGTGTGTGTGTGTGTGTACAACAAAAGGAATGTTTTGCAATGTGAAGAAACGAAGAATTAGAGTCTTCTGTATTACCAGAGTCAATGCAGTTATACCTATTTGGAATTAGTTTATAAATAAATAAACTGTAAGATGAATAAACCCCAGTGTTAAAAAAACACAGAATTTCATAATTCAGGAACATAGCTTCAGTGCTTCACAATGTGGAAAGAAGCTAATTGGCTCCTAAAAACAGCCAATTGGTTTGATTTCCTAGAAGTTAGAAAAAAATGCACTTCAGAAGATGATTTACAACAATTCGCAACAGAAGAACGACATTAAGAAAATATTGTGAACGTAAGAATTGAGGTCCTCAGAGTATCAAAAGAGGTAACAATCAGACTTCACGTTAGAATTTAAAGAATGTAATTGAAAGAAAAATTAACTGGGATCTTTGTAACAGGTTAAATATGTAACCACTTCAAATAGAAGTGATTTAGGCCTCTGCCTAGTTCCGAAAATGTATTGTAACATCTAGGTTTCCATATAAAAAAGTAATTTCGTTAGCAAGGATCCCTTTGTTTTAGCCTGAAAATCACCTCTGATGCTCCAAAGTGTATATACTATTACCAAACTAGCATTTAAACAGCATTATCAGGATACATCTCACCTACCATGAACTTAATTTTAAAGTGTACAGTTCAGTGGGTTTTAGTGTATTCGCAGAGTTGTGCAACCGTCACTACAGTCTAATTCAGAATATTTCGTTACTCCAAAAAGAAACCCAGTAACCACGTGTATTTACTCCTCATTCCTCTCCTCCCCCAGCTCTAGCAACCACTAATCTACCTCGTGTTGCTATTTATTTTAGTAACTTTTTTGTTTGAGAAAGTATGTGAGTGGGGGGGGCGGGGCAGAGCCAGAGGCAGAGAGAGAATCTTTAGCAGGCTACATGCTCAGCGTGGAGCTCAACACGGGGCTGGATCTCCTGACCATGAGATCATGACCTGAGCTGAAATCCAGAGTTGGACGTTTAATAACATTATAACATTGTAAACTTGCAACACTGTTCTCATGCCTATTCCAGGTCATTGACTCAGAGGTTTAGAAGTTCTTAAACTAGACAAATTTGCAAGTCCTGTGACAGCTTTCTTTCACATCTTTCCCTCTGTGCCTTCTTACCTTTCTGCTTCCCTAATACAAAGCCTAAGCTCGCTTTCACAAAGAAGCCTTAAATTATCTCCGCATACTTTATTGTATTAAGACCTGTTTACATCCAAAGCCTTTTGGTCACCCTTCTCCAGTATTCATACCCCATTTTCTTCTCTATTCACAATTCCTGTGCTATATATACTCATTTTCTAAATATCATCTCTCCCACCTTCATTCCATTTAAATCCTTCTTTAAAAAAAAAAAAATCCTCTCATCCCTTTCATTTGGTGCCTTCCTCCAAACCCAAGGTTTCTGTCTTTTGTCAGTCATTTTTCTCCCTTTCACTCTTAACCTCTCTAGTAATTCTGCTTTCTCACCCTGCAACAAAAGCTCACACTCTGATAATGTATATGTAGTGCTCAATTGGGTGTTTCTGAATAAATATCTGCTTTTCAAAACAGTGAAATCTAAACTATTAGCATGGAAATAACCCCTGGTAAGATGAGGTCTCCACTTGAAAGCTTCAAACAGATTCTCCTGCTGGTATTGAAAGATGGAGTTTTATCTAATATTATCTGAAATGGGGTGACTACTTGAACCATACAAGATGTCCACTATCTCGAAATGAGAATAGATCCCTGATTTTACATTTCTGTCTGTTTTGATTGACCTGAGAAATAAAACTTACCACCTCAGAGAAGGTAATTTTCCTATGTTTTGGATTATATTGAGCATTAATTCTTCAGGGTCATTATAGACTTAGAAATGTTTTGTCCTGCCTCCTAGTCTATGCCGTTGTGCCTTCCAGTAATGGGAGGAATCTACAAGGCAACCCAATCCATTCTGTACTGCTGTTGATTGTTATAACCGTTCATCCTTGTGTTGATGTTGCACTTCTGGACATTAATGCAGCCTGGAGTTGCTTTAAGTTTTGTTTTGTTTTTGTTTTTTTGTGTGTTTTTTTTTTTTAGCAACCATGTAACGTTGGCTCATATAATGAATTTTTATTTTCTGACATAAGCTCTGTGCCCAACATGGGGCTTGAACTCACGACTCTGAGATCAAGAGTCACATGCTGTACTGACTGAGCCAAACAGGCACCCCTCAAAATGAATTTTTAATTAACTAAAATCCCAAGATTTTAATCTAGAGAGTTGCTTTCACGTGACTTCTTTCCAAACCAAGTTTCCATTTTCCTTTAGCTGTGCAACAGATTTTTAAAGTCAGAATGTAATGTTTAATATCCCTGTTAAATTTCATCTCAGCGTATCAGCCAGCTTTGGTTTCTTTGAATCTTGATTTTTGTCATCCAGCTTATTCTGATTCAACGAGGGGTCTAAAAGCTAGTGTCAAAATGTTTTCAGACATCTGGGAAACAATAATGAAAAATCATGGAGACTATCTTCCAAAAATTGTTCCTTGCAGATATATCTGAGCTCTTGCATATGTAGGAGTTAATACCATTGTAAATTGACAAGGCCAAGAGAGACTGAAGTTTATTGCCAGCCTGCAAGACAGAAGCCTTGTGTTCAACATGACTCTGAGATGATGTTCCGAGACATGTAGTGCCAACATAATGCCAGGGCTGTTAATTCTTCCCAAGAAATCCATTAATGCACATACGTGGTAGAGACAGAATTACCGTGTCCCAGGGCGCCTGGGTGGCTCGGGCAGTTAAATGTCCAACCCTGGATTTCGGCTCAGGTCATGATCTCATGGTTCCGTGAGTTTGAGCCCCGTGTCAGGCTCTGTGCTGACAGCATGGAGCCTGCTTGGGTTTCTCCCTCTCTTTCCTGTCTCTGCCCGCTGCCTTGCACGCGTATGCTCTCTTGCTGTCTGTCAAAATAAATAAACTTAAAAAAAATTACTGTGGGGCGCCTGGGTGGTGCAGTCGGTTAAGCGTCCAACTTCAGCCAGGTCACAATCTCGCGGTCCGGGAGTTCGAGCCCCGCGTCAGGCTCTGGGCTGATGGCTCGGAGCCTGGAGCCTGTAGCCTGTAGCCTGTTTCCGATTCTGTGTCTCCCTCTCTCTCTGCCCCTCCCCCGTTCATGCTCTGTCTCTCTCTGTCGCAAAAATAAATAAATGTTGAAAAAAATTAAAAAAAAAATTACTGTGTCCTTTTTTAAATTTTTTTTTGCCAAGCATATACTGAGCACAGTATTAGGAAGGATGCAAGATTCCGGAGAACCAGGTTTGCTTGGGGCAACCCTGATTTATGCCTGTTGTCCCAGTGTAATTATTAGTAACATCATTTTTCAGTTTCAGAGTGTCCAGGTTTGGAGGCTAAATCATCTGGCCACCCTTCTCATAACCCAGCTAGTTCTTTTTAGAATTTTTTCTGGGTTAAATGTTACACAGCTATAATTTGGCAACTTTAATGAGGCTACACTAGTACTTGTCTTCCATTTGAACAGATTGTTTCTTGACCATGGGAAGTTGATAGCAAAAGTAACTGCAGTTAAGGTCTACACATACTCAGAATCTCTCTGGAGCTGCCCTCTAGAGGGCAGTAATACATACATCTGAAATGATCCAATTCCAACAAAAAATGGACTACGAGAGTCCATTTTCATATGCATGAAAATCAGAAACATTTGATATTCCTTTCTTTAAACTTTTTTTAATGTTTTATTTTTGAGACAGCATGAGCGGGGGAGGGGCAGAGAGAGAGGGAGACACAGAATCCGAAGCAGGCTGCAGGCTGCAGGCTCCAGGCTCTGAGCTGTCAGCACAGAGCCTGACGGAGGGCTTGAACTCATGATCTGTGAGATTATGTCCTGAGCTGGAGTCGGACGCTTAAGTGACTAAGTCATCCAGGCGCCCCTAGAAACATTTGATGCTCCTGAAGGACATATTGGAAGCAATACCGTGCATAAAACTCAGGTATCTTTTGCTCTGCAGGGAAGTAAAGAAATATTAAAAATTAGTTCATTAACATTCTGAACATACACAGTTTTTTTAATTGTTAAAACTGAACTTTGGGGCACCTGGGTGGCGCAGTCGGTTGAGCGTCCTGACTTCAGCCAGGTCACGATCTCGCGGTCCGTGAGTTCGAGCCCTGCGTCAGGCTCTGGGCTGATGGCTCAGAGCCTGGAGCCTGTTTCCGATTCTGTGTCTCCCTCTCTCTCAGCCCCTCCCCCGTTCATGCTCTGTCTCTCCCTGTCCCAAAAATAAATAAACGTTGAAAAAAAAATTTTTTTTTAAAAATAAAATAAAACTGAACTTTGATGCCTTGACTATACAATGATCCATTATAACAATTATGCAGGGAGTTTAAGAATCTGCATATTTTATGCTTTTCTGTTTTTCCTAATTAATGGTTTTACATGGTTAATAATGTTAATATATTCTGCATCACATAGTTTCCATATTTATGCAAAATAAGCAATTAAAAATGAATAGTTCTACCTACTTAAATATTACTTTCCTCTAAAAAACAAAAAATGCAGGTTTTTACTTTGTAACTTGAATCATGTGGTAACGTAGAACTCTAATATTTAGAATTAGAATATTTCTTAGAGATTGTATGATTACTTTTATGTCATCAGTAGTTAGTTTATTAGCTTCTGATATCAAAATTATATTGGCTGCGTCTCACATTTTGGATTTCTTCATGTAATGTTCTCTTTTTAGGAAGGGTGGACAAGTCCTATTTTCAGGAGAAGATGACTTTTAACAGTTTTGAAGCATCTAAACCTTGTGTACCTGCAGATCTCAGTAAGGATGAAGACTTTGTAGAAGAGTTTAATAGATTAAAGACTTTCGCTAATTTTCCAAGTAATAGTCCTGTCTCGGCATCAACGCTGGCACGGGCGGGTTTTCTGTATACCGGCGAAGGAGACACTGTGCGCTGCTTCAGCTGCCACGCAGCAGTAGATAGATGGCAATATGGAGACTCAGCGGTTGGACGACACAGGAAAGTATCCCCAAATTGCAGATTTATCAATGGCTTTTATTTTGAAAATCATGCTGCGCAACCTACAAACCCTGGTATCCAAAATGGTCAGTATAAAGCTGAAAGCTGTCTGGGAAACAGAAATCATTTTGTTGTAGACAGGCCATCTGAGACTCACGCAGACTATCTTTTGAGAACTGGACAGGTCGTAGATATATCAGACACCATATACCCGAGGAACCCCGCCATGTATAGTGAAGAAGCTAGATTAAAGTCATTTCAGAACTGGCCAGACTATGCCCACCTGACCCCAAGAGAGTTAGCTAGCGCTGGACTCTACTACACAGGTATTGAGGATCAAGTGCAGTGCTTTTGTTGTGGCGGAAAACTGAAAAATTGGGAACCTTGCGATCGTGCATGGTCAGAACACAGGCGGCACTTTCCTAATTGCTTCTTTGTTTTGGGCCGGAATGTGAATGTTCGAAGTGAATCTGATGTTGTGAGTTCTGATAGGAATTTCCCAAACTCGACAAATGCTCCAAGAAATCCAGCCATGGCAGATTATGAAGCACGGATCGTTACTTTTGGGACGTGGATGTACTCCGTTAACAAGGAGCAGCTTGCAAGAGCTGGATTTTATGCTTTAGGTAAACGTTATGATAAAATCAGGCTGTTAAATAACTTTCCAACTATCTCAGGGCTCCTAAAAAAGTAAATCGATTGCTGTAGCCCCCTGAACTGGTAAATATTTAGGTGTAGGCTGGCCTGATGGTTTGTATCACTATTAAATCTGTGAACCCTCACGTTGAATCTGCAATGTAAGCACTCCGTTTCTGTGAAAGAGACCGCCATATCGTGAGTTCTCTTCCCCTTCGTGTGATTGTTGTTTGGAGAAGGGTGACCTGCAAAAGATGGTACAAGAATGGGTCTGACAGCAAGGCTGACTGTAACGGAGCGAGCACCTACTCTGTGTGCTCAGTGCATATCTTACGTGCATTCTTTCTACACCCCACAAAAGAGTTAACGTCAAGAGTTTAGTGTGGCCGATATTAAAATTGGTATCTGCCTTTTATGTCTAGACTATATGTTTGAAAGCTGCCCTGTATGATGCCTTATTGCTTCAAATAAGCACTTCTCAAATGGACTATTGTAAACTTGTCAGGAAGGGCCATTAGTGTGATGCCTTCCAGGAACATTCAGTTATACCACGATATATCTGACCCGTTTACTTTAGGATTGAACGGTGCCAAAATACAAACTCTCAGTTATTTCAATATTTTATTTACACAGTATCCTACAGAAACCATGAAGGTTTATTTAGTGTCACGTAGCTATAACCCGTAGAGAAACTTACTAGTAATTTCATTATGCTGAGCTTTACTGTTAAAGTTTCAGTTTGAAGGAGTGTAGTATGGATGGCCCCAAATGACATGTCAGAGAGAAGGTAACAATTGTAATTTTTCACATAAAAATTGGACAGTTTTATTTTTGTCTTCTGTAAAATACCTCAGATTAATTCAGTGAATTTAGTGTCTGTTTCCTCCTCAAACAACCATGTCTATTACTTAGATGTGAATTTGAATGTCTTCTTTGAAGCCGTGAGGCTTTCATGTATTTAGAAATGGTTAATTTCAGCGTTAAAAGGAGTATTTTTGCGTTAGTTTTTAATTGCACAAACACATGTATTTTTTTACTTGTGTCTTTTCTTAGGGGAAGGTGATAAAGTAAAATGCTTTCACTGTGGAGGAGGGCTAACTGATTGGAAGCCCAGTGAAGACCCTTGGGAACAACATGCTAAGTGGTATCCAGGGTAAGGTATTTAAATGCTTATTCAGGAACAGGCAAGTTAGACACTTTGCAGTAGGAAAATCTTGAATAACTTTTCACCTCAACTATTTTTGCCCTCACTATGGCTTGAAATTCACACCAGGTTTATAAAAATGGGGTCACCTACTTTATAGGGGAAAAAAAAGTCCTAAGCCTTCTCTGGTGACCAGAGAAAGCACTCATTGCTGGTATATTGTATCTCTGGCATTCAGATAATTCTGTTTCTAAATGCCAGATTAGGAATATATGGTTTTGTTGTTGTTGGAGCTAGGCTCTTTCGTGATGGGCAGTAGAGCCCTTGCTGTCAAGGAGTTTCCTTAAGAACCCATGACATCCCCTAGTCGATTTTACTCTATCTCAGTGATTCTAACACACACAGTTATTCACATTTGCAGATTTCTGAAATGAGGACACATCTGGAGGTGGGTCATAATTGAATTGGCAGTGGTGGTACTTAAAATAATCGTGCTTCATATAATCAATGGCATCTTAGAATGAGAGTGACATACGCTAAACATCTCTTTTCCATCTTCTTTAAAAATCAAGTACACACGTATGTAAATGATGTGAATTTGTGGCCTGCAAAATAGTACAACGTAAAACTTCAGAGCAGTTGTTTGAAAATAAATCTTAACTTTAAAAAGCCTTAGAAGGAAAGGTTAGAAGCCTAAAGAATTCCTTCAAAATGTACAGTTGGTTAATCCTCTAAATAAAATTTAAGATTAACTGTTTGAAGAAAATTTTTTAAATGTTAAGGTGATAATTTAATAGGTGATATTTTTTGCCTCACTAAGATTAACAAAGTAGCATAACAAAGGGAACACATTTTTTAACCTTAAAATGACAGTTGATAGGGAATTGAATAACATTTTATTTTGCCACTTCTTAGAAATACCAAAAAGCAAGTTAATGGAATTAAGATAATGGAGATTATATCTTTACTTCTACCTTACTAATTTATCAGCTACCAAAGTTTAACCTTCTTTTAATTGTTTAGGTGTAAATATCTGTTAGAAGAGAAGGGACAAGACTATGTAACCAATATTCATTTAACCCATTCACTTGAGGACTCTATGGTAAGTCACATATTGTAGAATATATATTTTTAAATATGTAATTTCTTTTGCAATGATTTCTTGGTGTAAAATTCACCGTATAGTATTTTAAATTAATAGTGTATGGTGAGCTTTAAAGGGGAGATCTTGAAGAATGGCTTGTTATTCTTACTCTGAAGCTGATTTGTGAAAAGAGACTCCCTGTGAGCTGATTGAACTATCACTGTAAGCAGAACTGGGCTTTAAGAACTAAAATACTTAATCCCTCAGCTTTCTGAAATTAGACTTTTGTGTAATGTGTTTTATACTCATAAATAGTTTTAAACTTTTCATAGATGATATTTTAAGTCTCAAAAATGTGTCTAAATTGATGGTGCGGCCTGGGGTGGCCAAGGTATTGGCACCATGAGGGAACAGCCGTGGACTAGAACAGGGGGCTAGAGTTGCCGTTATGGCTCCACCATGAACTCTGTTGCCTCCATCAAGTTGTTTAATCTCCTTGAGTCTCAGGTTCTTGTCTGTAAAGTGAATGGATTGGGTTGAATGATCTTTTAACTTCTAGCTTCATCAGTTTATGCCTCTTGTGAACATTGGAATAAAGCCAATTTATAAATTCATGATTAATGTAACTTTTCAAATTGAGGTAATTGCCTCTACCAAAAAGAATTCTAACTTAAAAATCCGTATTTCTGTTTTAGGTAAGAACTGCTGAAAAAATGCCATCATTAACCAAAAGAATTGGTAAATATGCCTATTAAATATACTTTTAATTTCATTACTGATTTATTTTTTTAGTGTTTATTTTTGAGAGAGAGAGCGAGCGAGAGTGAGTGGGGGGAAGGGGGAGAGAGGGAGACACAGAATTCGAAGCAGGCTCCAGGCTCTAAGCATCTATGCAGAGCTCGATCGACGCAGGGCTTGAACTCATGAACCTCAAGATCATGACATGAGCTAAACTCGGACCCTTAACCGACTGAGCCACCCAGGAGCCCCATCATTGCCAATTTATCATAGTTGTTATTTATAGGTTGGAAATACAAGCTTATTCTTTCAAGGTAATCAGGGTGTGTTTATTTGAGATGACATTGCTATGAATTAAGAATTAGTGAAGTGCCTGTAAATTTAAGTCAGATGTTTAACTATTAAGAACATTCATGTGATTAATATACAGTATATTAATTATACTGGAAAATTAAAAATTATACTAAACCATAAGTTATGTAATTATATATTTTGTTATATTATACTAAAAAATTAAAAATAAAATAAGACTTTAAAAAAGAATATTCATATGGAAGTTGGACAGTTAGCTTTTCCTATTTCAGGAGAAGCAGCTATAGGCTGTCCATTGCCATTTCTGTTAAAATTGCAAAAGGAAGAGTTAAGTGTATTTTTGTCCCTGGTGCTTCTTCAGTTAGCCAGGATCATGAATCCAGTGCTAATGTGCCATCACCACGATCGGCCCTACCTGCTTCCTTATCCCATGCCATCTTTCTGCCTTCCCCAGTTTCTTCACAGAGGGGCACGGTTCGGTTTATCTCCTGTTACCTTGTAGAGAGGTAGAGGTTTTTATCTCAGAGATTATTTTTTTTTTTAACGTTTATTTATTTTTGGGACAGAGAGAGACAGAGCATGAACAGGGGAGGGGCAGAGAGAGAGGGAGACACAGAATCGGAAACAGGCCCCAGGCTCTGAGCCATCAGCCCAGAGCCCGACGCGGGACTCGAACTCACGGACTGTGAGATCGTGACCTGGCTGAAGTCGGACGCTTAACCGACTGCGCCACCCAGGCGCCCCTATCTCAGAGATTATTTACTCATCATAAGCATGTTTGAAAACCAGAAAAATACTATGTTAAGAAAATATGATATTGTTATCCCCACTTTTCAGATGAAGAACAGAGTCAAGGAGGTTAAGTGTCTTGCCCACAGTTACCTTACAAATCGTCAGTGGAACTAGGACTCTAAACGAGGTCTTCTGAAACCTACATCACACTGTAGATCTCATTCTCAACTTAGGCATCATGTTTGGAGAAAGTTTATTGAGAATGCCTGCTGATTCCCCACTCCTTATAGCATCATCTGTTTAGTATCCTAAGGGTTACAAGGCAAGAGAAAACTATATATACTCATGAATATGCTTAAGAAAGAGAGCCATTTTGATAATGTTTGATACAGGTTTTGTAATGAGCATAAAAAATACAGTTTAAGAAATCATTTATTCCAGCCTGTATTTTTCAGATTATCCAGAAACAAAGATTCTATATTATTTCTTGATAATAATCACCTTTACAATGCATACTGTGTTTTTTATGACTAAATGAGACTCTTGCTCTGGTTTATGGTTAATGTTTTTAAATAGAAATGTAATTCATATAGCAAAAATTTCACCCTTATAAACTGTACACTTTAGTGGTTTTTAGTATATTCACAAGGTTGTGGAACCATCACAACCTATTTAATTGCTGCAGGACATTATCGTAACCCCCAAAAGAAACCCTATACCCATTAGCAGTCACTCTCCATTGCTGCCCCTTCACCCTCAAACCCAAACAACTACTAATTTATTTCCATCTCTCTGGATTTACCTATTCTGGACATTTCATATGAATGGAATCATAATATATGGCTTTGAGGTTCATCCACATTTTGGTACTCCTATATGAGTACTTCATTCTTTTTTTATGGTGGAAAAATATCCCTTTGTATGGATAATACCATGAATGTTTACCCATTCATCGGTTGGTAGACATTTGGGTTTCCATTCCTTGGCTTTTAAGAATGATGCTGATGCTGCTATGAACATCTGTGTGCAAATTTCTGTGTAGAAATAGGTTTTGAATTCTCTTGAGTATATATTTAGGGATGGAATTGCTGGGTCATGTAGTAACTCTACATTTAACCTTTTGATAAATGGCCAGTTTTCCAAGGTGGCTGCACCATTTTACATTCCCGCTGGCAGTGCATAAGGGTTCTGGTTTATTTCTCCACATCCTTGTTAATGCTTGTTATTGTATGTTCTTTTATTACAGCCATCCTAGTGGGTTTGTGAAGTGGTATCTTATTGTGCTTTTGATTTGCATTTCCCTGATGGCTAATGATGTTGGGAATCCTTTCATGTGCTTATTGGCCAATTGTAGGTCTTCTTTGAAGAAATGTCTGTTCATTGCCTTTGTCCATTTTTTAAGTTGTCGTATTTATCTTTCTGTTACTGAGTTGTAAGAGTTCTTTACATATTCTAGTTTGTTATATGTAAGCCCCCTGTCAGATATATGATTTGCAAATATTTTCTCTCCTTCTGTGGGTTATCTTTTCACTTTCTAGCTGGTGTCCTTTGAAGCATATACGTTTTTAATTGGGATGAAATCCAGTTGATCTGTTTTTGTTGCTTATGCTTTTATAGTGTTATATGTAAGAAACCATTGCCTAATCCAAGGTCATCTATGTTTTCTTTTAAGAATTTTATGGTTTTAGGGGCATCTGGGGGGTTCAGTGGGTTAAAAAAAAGTCTGACTTCAGCTCATGTCATGATTTCATGGTCTGTGGGTTTGAGCCCCGCATCGGGCTCTGTGCTGACAGCTCAGAGCCTGGAGCCTGCTTCAGATTCTGTGTCTCCCTTTCTCTCTGCCCCTTCCTGCTCGTGTTGTCTGTCTGTCTGTCTGTCTCTCTCTCTCTCAAAAATAAACATTAAAAAACTTTTTATTAAAAAATAAAAAGAATTTTATGGTTTTAGCTTTTACATTCAGGTCTTTGATCCATTTTGAGTTAATTTTTATATATGTGTAAGGTAGGGGTCCTTTTAATTGTTTCTCATATCCTGTTGTCTCTGCCTTTAGTTTTAAGCAAGGTGACCTTGAGATACCTACAGGATATCCAGGTACATGGATATTAAAACCTGGAACTCACCTAAATAAGAGTAAAATTGTGGTAGGGGGAAGCATCCAGAGAGATCATTAAAAAGGGTGCATCGATGAGGGAAGCGGAAGGTGAGCAGAAGGAGCCAACAAAACAAGCTGAAAAAAAAAACAAAACGCGGACAGTAGAACCAGGAAAGAGCGCTGTCCAGCTGATCTCTGGACATCTCCACTTAAAAATCTCAAAAGCAGCTCAAATTCCGCATTTCTAAAAACCACCCTGACCGAATCCAGTCCTGCTCTCCGCCCCCCCAAGTTGGTTAATAGTTCCACAGTTCACAGAGTTGCCCAGTAATTTGAGTCATTTTAAGCTCTTTGCTTTCCTTAATCCCTCTACATTTAATTAACCACCAGGTCTGATGAATTCAACCTTTTTAATATTGTCTAAAATCCACTGATTCTGCCCTAGTTTCTGCCCTTATTTCTCATCCAGATGCATTAGTATTCTCATAAATGGTCTTTTGTCTTCATTATAACCTCCCAACAGAATTTTTCTTTATCAAACAGAAATCTTAAGTTACTTTTACTTCTTTTGTTACTTACCATATAATAGTTCTTAAGGTCAAATCCCTTTCCAGTTTCTCTTTTTAAAAAACATTTATTGAGGGGTGCCTGGGTGGCTCAGTTGGTGAAGCAGCCGAGTCTTGATTTCGGCTCAGATCATAATCTCACAGTTCATGGGTTCGAGCCCCACCTAGGGCTCTGTGCTGACAATGCAGAGCCTGCTTGGGATTCTCTATCTCCCTCTCTCTCTGCCCCTCCCCTGCTCGCTTGCACACATGCTCACTCTCAATATAAATAAACTTAAAAAATTTAAAAATTAAAAACATTTATTGAAGTATAATCTGCATACAATAAAATGCATAAAATAGACCAATCTGAAGTATTCAACTCAGTGAATTTTAATATGCATTTATGTGTAGTCATCAGCCAAATCAAGATAATAAAACATTTCCACCATGCCCGAAACTCATTCAGGCCCCTTCCCAATCAGTATCTACCCCCAAGTTACATTCTGACTTCTATTACCATAGGTTAGATTTGAACATCTTACAAATGTAATCATACAGTGTATTCCTTTGTTACTAGTTCATCATGATGATGACGTTTTGTTCATCTTATCTGTGAGATTCGTCCATATTGTCTGTGGCAGTGGTTTGTTTTTCCTTCTTGCTGTGTAGTATTGGAATATACCACAATTTACTTATCCATTCACCTGATGATAGACATTTGAGTTGTTTCCAGTTTGAGGCTGTTATAAATGACACTGCTGTGAATATTCTTGTGGATGTCTTTGGTGGACCTTTGTACTTATTTTTAATACTCAGGAGTAGAATTGATGAATCAGAGGGTGTAAGTCTCTTTTTTTTTTTTTTTTTTAGCAGTTCCCTATATAACCTGTATTTTACTTTGAGTACCATTAAAGCGAATTTCTGTTCATTTTGTTGCCTTATCTAGTTCACCCCCCTTGGCTACAGAAACTAAGTCTCAGAGATAGGAAACTCACACACATTCAAAGTCACAGACTGGGACTTCCCCGTATTCCCCACAATTTTTCCAAAATAATTGCTAGTGACAAGGGAAAGACATCCACTCTTTAAGTACTTAGGTTAGTTGTTAATGACTACAGCTGATTTGATAAAGTTCTGATTTTCAAAGCACTTAACTTTTTCTTCTCAGTTTTACCTAATTGTTCACTGTTTCTTTAGTCTTTAAATCACCTAATCTCAATTCATAGTGCTACAAAATACATACTGCATTTTCAATTATAACATTCTGAAAGATTCTTCAGTGCTTAAATATTTTAAAATCTTCTTCCCAAAGTAGCTTTGATTTGCTGGTTAGCATTTGGGGTTTTTTTGTTTTTTTTTTTTGAGGAGCGGGGCTTTGCTTGCTGCTTATATGTTTCTTTTTAACTATACTTTGCTGTTGAGTTGTGCTAATGAAAATAATTATTTAAATTCCACGTTCCTTTTTCTCACCAATTTTTATTTCAGATGATGCCATCTTCCAAGATCCTATGGTACAACAAGCTATACGAATGGGATTCAATTTCAGAGACATTAAGAAAGTAATGGAAGAAAAAATTCAGACATCTGGGAGCAACTATAAATCACTTGAGATTCTGGTTACAGACCTAGTGAGTGCTCAGAAAGACAATACACAGGATGAACCAAGCCAGACCTCATTGCAGAAAGGTATGCGTGACTGTTTTTAAAAAGCAAGAAACACCTAACAGCACTTCCTTATGGCCAGCATCTTACATGACTTTGTGGCCCATTCATTTTTTTCCTTCTCACATCCCCCTTAGGATAAACATTTTTAAAAACTTTTTGACAATAAAAAATTCAAAAATACCCAAAAGTGGAGAAAGCCATATAATGAACCCTGACATACCCATCGATCAGATTCAGTAATTGTCAACAGTTTTCCAATCTTGTTTGATTTCTTCCCCAACTTTTATTGTTATGTATTTCAAAGAAAATTCCAGGCATCCCATACACCATTTACCTGTAAATAATATATATCTAACAGATAAGGATTTTTTTTAACATAATCTTAATACCATGTGTTAAGCAGTAACTTAAACTGTGCTCAGGTTAGGCTTGTAGATGGCTGCCTTCTCTGTGTGTCCTCACATGGCCGAGAAAGAGCACTCTGGTCTCTCTTCCTCTTATAGATACACTGAGTCCATGGGAAGTCTGGCTGGCTCAGTCAGTAGAGCATGTGACTCTTGATCTCCAAGTTGTGAGTTTGAGCCCCAGGTTGGGCATAGAGTTTAAGAATAAATACATACAGCGGCACCTGGGCAGATCAGTCAGTTAAGCATCTAACTCTTGATTTCAGCTCAGGTCATGATCTCATGGTTTGTGAGACCGAGCTGTGTCTTGGGATTCTCTCTCTCCCACCCTTTTCTGCCCCTACACTGTTTGTGCACTCTCACTCTCTCTCTCTCAAAATATATGAATAAAACTTAAACAAATACATAGAAAGAAAGGAAGGAAAGAAGGAGAGAGAAAGCAAACTGATTCCATGAGGGGGTCCCACCCTTATGACCTCATCTAAATGTAATTACCTCCCGAAGGGCCACTCTGTGAGTACCATCACGTTGGGAGTTTGGGGCTTCAAAATACGAATTTTGGGGAGATACATTATTCCATAACATACTGTTACCCCATTTAAAAAATTACTAGTACTTCTATAATATCATCTGAAAATCAGTTGGTTTTAATTTTCCCCCTTGTCTTAAAACATTTTTAACAGTTTATTTCTTCTAATTGGGATCCAAGTAAGAGCCACTGATTTATTCATTTTAAGTGTGGGGGCACCTGGGTGACTCAGTTGATTAAATGCCCGACTCTTGATTTTGGTTCAGATAATGATCTCATGGTTCATGAGATCGAGCCCTGCTGACAGCATGGAGCCTACTTGGGATTCCCTCTCGTGTGCTGTCTCTTGCGCACTCTTTCAAAATAAATACTTAAAAATTTTAGAGTGTGGGTTTGTGTTTTAGTTTAGATAAAGAACAAGAAAGGCTTTTATTGGGGCGCCTGGGTGGCTCAGTCGGTTAAGCGTCCAGCTTCGGCTCAGGTCATGATCTCACAGTTCATGAGTTTGAGCCTCGCGTCAGGCTCTGTGCTGACAGCTTGGAGCCTGGAACCTGCTTCGGGTTCCGTGTCTGCCCCTGTCTCTGCCCCTCCCATGCTCATGCTCTGTCTCTCTGTATCTCTCAATAATGAGTAAATGTTGAAAATAAATTTTTAAAAAAAGGCTTTTATCACTGTGTATAGAATCTGTAAGTTTTGTAGTTGAAATGGATTTTGAATGTTCTGCAACTTTTCATGTGGTGTGAACATATAAAAGTGCTATATTACTAAATAGAGCTTGAATGAGTGGCACTCTAACACTGTAAATCATATATTGGGGCGCCTGGGTGGCTCAGTCAGTTAAGCATCTGACTTTGGCTCAGGTCATGATCTCACTGTTTGTGGGTTCAAGCCCCACATTGGGCTCTGAGCTGTCAGCTGGAGCCTACTTTAGATTCTGTCTCCCTCTCTCTGTCCCTCCCCAACTCACACTCTGTTTTTCACAAGTAAATAAAAACATTAATTAAAGTAGGCTCCACACCCATCATGGGGCTTAGACTCAAGAACCCTGACATCAAGAGTGACATTGTCTACCAACTGAGCCAGCCAGGCATCCCTAGAAAGTGTATTAAATAATGTGCAAGAGAATCATATGAACTCCCTTTAGGAAAAAAAAATTAAAAATACAGGTTCCTTCTTTAAGGATGATAGCTACTCTAGTGTTTGACAGCAACATTGAAGGTTAAAAGGTTTCAAATTGTGAATACATTTTGGGTACTGAGTTACGTTGTGATAATCACTGGTCTCTGAGGGGTGCCTGGGTGGCTCAGTTTGTTGAGTGTCCGACTCTTGATCCCAGGGTCGTGGGATCAAGCCCCGCATTGGGCTCTTCGCTGAGTGTGGAGCCTACTTGGGACTATCTCTCTCCCTCTAAAAAATAAAAAAATAATAATAATCTTTGTTCTCTGAGCTGTTAACCACCTCTTCCAAAGGTTGAAAATTCTCCCAGTGCTAATAAACCTTAAAGTTTACTAATTTTTTTTTTTTTACATTAATGACCCTTTTAGGGTGCCTGGCTGACTTAGTTGGAAGAACATGTAACTCTTGATCTCAGAGTTCTGAGTTCAAGCCCCATTTTGGGTGTGGAGCTTACTTAAAAAAATAGACCCTTTTGATCTTTAAGTTATTTCAAATGCTTCTAAAACATTATTCAGATAATTACCTCAGTCAAAAACCAGTATGATTTTAATGGCTTTTAAAATTAGATCAGTTGATATAAAACATGCAGCAGAAAGCTTACCACCCTTTTCCTAACGATGCGTTTATTTAAAACCTGTAATAGCTCCACTTGTCTTGGAGATGGTAAAATGGACCACTGACTCAGTCATCTTTCTACTGCAATAGAAATTCAAGTGATTGTATCATTTTTCCTTGCGTCTTAACCATAACTCAAGTTTGACAGTTGAAGTGTTAGCTTTTACACCTGAAGGCATTGAATGCAACAGAATGAGTTAGTGGGGTGTAGCAGTGGGGGGCAGGGACAGAGTGCACTGGGGAGTGTCTGTTTTCTAGCCAGCAGGAGGCCTTGGCGGCTCCTATAATCACTGAGACCACAGCAAGCTCGGATGGTGTGGGAAGCAGGGTCTGAGCAAAGGGCAGCTCTTAGAGGCAGGAATTGACCTCTCCTTAGTCTCACTAAATTGTGAGGCAGGGTCACTGATACAGGCTGTCTTCTCACACTAGGGCTGCTGCATATTCCTCTTCTCAAAGCCTGAGGAGGAAAGACTGGCGCTAGGAATCTTTATACAAAATAGAAGGCAGGTCTAATTGAAGTCGAGCAGGTGGAAGTTATTAGAAAAACTACACTGTATTGCTTACCGAGAAATCCTGCATCCAGTGCTAGCTTTTATCCCAATGGCTGTGTGACAGAGAATGTCCTAGTAAATGGTCTTCTAAAAATAGTACCAAATAGTATCTTTCATTCTTTCTTTTTCAAGATTACATAGTGTGCTGTAAAGCCCTTTACTTCTAAAGTGCTTATTTTAACCTTTATGTATGTATTACTGTATATAAAAATCAACTACCATACATATTTCTTATCAACCTGTCCACATGGATCTGCTCTGATAGTAACATGAGTAACATCAGTTTATTCTAGAAATGGGTTTTTTTAAGTTTTTATTTTTTTTTTCTAAGTAATCTCTCTACCCAGCATGGGGCTCAAACTGCCAACCCCGAAATCAAGAGTTGCTCCACCGACTCAGTCAGCCAGGTGCCCCATATTCTAGAAAGTTTTAAATAATGTAGTAAAAATAATAGCAAATACCATCCAAAGTTATCTAGGTCTTGCCTTCATAGTTCACGTGCCAGGAACCTCCTGACCTAGAAGAAAGCCTTGTAGAAAGTTGAAGGGGAAAGGCACGAAGTGAAGGATGTAGAATCCGATATTGGCCTTAAGGCTTGAATGAACTATAGTTTTCAGAGGTAAACTATTGGTCTGAGGGGGTAAAACCATCTGAGTTAAGTGGCTGTACATAAGGCCAAAACGAGGTACAGAAGGTTGATGATAACAGTGGTTGGTAGGCCTCACATTTCATTTTCCTGTGGTCTGTAAAATGGAATCACAAACCATCAGAGCCAGAATGAACCTGAAAGATCATATAATAACTTTCATCGCTTCAGTGAGAAAACTGAAGCTAGTTATGCTGTTGCCCAGCGTCATTCAGATAGCTGGGAATAAAACTCAGGTTTCCTTATTTTTTTTAAGAGAGAGAGAGCAAGGGGTACTGAGGATCTGAAGTGGGCTCTGTGCTGACAGCAGAGAGCCAGCCCTATGCGGGCTCTGACTCGTGAACCCAGAGGTCAGGTCATGACCTGAGCCAGAGTCTGCCGCTTAGCTGACTGAGCCACCCAGGCGCCCCCAGCGTTCCTTAAAAAAATTTTTTATGGAGCATTTGGGTGGCTTAGTTAAGCCTCCAACTTTTGCTTTCGGCTAAAGTCATGATCTCACAGTCAATAGATCGAGCCCCACGTCACACTTGGTGAGGAGTACAGAATCTGCTTGAGATCCTCTCTCTCTCTCTCTCTCTCTCTCTCTCTCTCTCTTTCTGCCCATCCCCCACTTGTGCTCATGTACTCCCCTCTAAATAAATAAACTTAAAAAAGTATAAGGTTTTTTTTTTTTTTAATTTTTTTTTTGAACGTTTATTTATTTTTGGGACAGAGAGAGACAGAGCATGAACGGGGGAGGGGCAGAGAGAGAGGGAGACACAGAATCGGAAACAGGCTCCAGGCTCCGAGCCATCAGCCCAGAGCCCGACGCGGGGCTCGAACTCGCGGACCGCGAGATCGTGACCTGGCTGAAGTCGGACGCTTAACCAACTGCGCCACCCAGGCGCCCCAAAAAAAAGTATAAGGTTTTAAGTATACAGTTCAGTAGTGTTGAGTACATTGACATTGTGCACCCACTCTCCATAGCTCTTCTTATCTACACAACCGAAACTCTGTCCCCGTTAAACACCTCCCCATCCCTTCTCACCCTTAAATCCATCTTGTGAACTCCTCCTTCCCAGCTCCACTGAGAGGTCATTCTTTCAGGCTTACCCCCATACCCAGAGTAGCGTTCTGAAGCTCCCTCTTCTCGATTTTACCTGCTATTAGAGCATTTGTAACATTGTTTTCTGTCCTGCCCATTAGATTAAGCTTTTTGAGGACAGGCACTTGATCTTATCTCTGATGCATTCTATGTTTGAGCATAGGTTTGATTATGCCCTCTAGGTTGCTTTTTAAGAAGAAAGAGATTTAAAAAAAGAAGGAGAAAGAGATTAAATTAAATAATACTTTCCCTCCACCCCTAGTCAGGCATACCTCTCCAAAGCGCAAATCTCCTCCTATCTCTCTCCTCCTGGCTCCCAGCGTCCTCAGGAACAAGTCCAAACTCCTTTACATGGGTGGCCAAATCTTTCTTTTTAATGTTTATTTATTTTGAGAGAGAGAGCATGAGCAGGGGATGGGCAGAGAGAGAGAGAGAGAGAAAGAGAGAATCCCAGGCAGGGTCTGCACGGTCAGCGCAGAGTCTGATACGAGGCTCGAACTCCAGAACTGTGAGGTCATGACCTGAGTCGAGGTCAAGAGTTGGACGCCTAACCAACTGAGCGGCCCAGGCGCCCCATGGGTTTCCAAATCTCCATGACTGGGCCCCTGTTAACCTTCTATAGCCTCTTGTCATGCTGTTTCCCTGTGACTCTCTTCCCAAGCCTTACCCGTGTACTTGCACGTCTGGTTCCGTCCCTCCTCCTGGAGCCAGCTTATGCCATTTCCCCTGCCTAGACACTCTTCTCCCACCGCCTCCATCCCCCAGGGCCTTCTCTCTCTCTCCTTCCTAGTTAACTCCTCATCCTTTAGGACCCAGTTTAAGTATCATTTCCTCCAGGAGGCCTTCCATTTATGTGTGTGCACACACTCCAGCACACGCTCGCACCTTTCCTGTGTTCTTGATAACACATTGTAATTGCCTTTATCCTTACGCTCTCTTATAATTTCCTGTCTACTTGTGTTTCTTGTCTATGAACGATTAGGGGCCTGGGGTCTAGATATGTTAATTATTGTATCTCTAGTCCCTAGAACCTAGTTAAGTGTTGAGTAAATACTTATTGAATGAAACTCAACCACTGTTTCCCAGACTTGTTTTCAAAATAGTATTCCCCAGCATGTTAAAAGGAATGTGGTGACAAAGGAGCTCTGTAGTTAAATAGGGACATGCATTGTGATTTTCTAAGAGGGACATATACTGTGTTGTACTGTCCTGTACTTCATAGCAGTGGTTCCCAATCGCCAGTGTGTGCAAGCCCAGAAATTGTTGTTGTATAAAACCGTATCTGTTTCTTTTTGCATACTTTAATTTCAGAACAAAATAAAAAATAAAACCAACCCTAGAAATTTTAGATTTAGTGAATGGAGCCTAGCAGTCTAGTGTTTAAAAATGCCCTGGGGCGCCTGGGTGGCTCAGTCAGTTAAGTGTCAGACTCTTGATTTCTGCTCAGGTCATAATTTCACGGTTCAGTGGGATCGAGCCCCACGTCTGGCTCTGCACTGATGGCACGGGGCCCGCTTGGGATTCTCTCTCCCTCCCTCCCTCTCTGCTCTTCCCCTGCTCAAGCTTTCTCTCTCTTTCAAAATAGAAGAAACATTTTTTAAAAATGCCCCAAGTGATTCTCATGTGAGGCCAGATTTGGAAACCACACGTATACAAAGATTGTTAAAATACATAATGCCTTTGGAATAGTATCTAGCACATAGTAATAAGTACTGTATTATTGTTAACTGCTGCCATCATTGAGGTTGTGGTCATTACAGTTACTATGGCCACAAAACACATTTTTGTAACATATTTAACATTTCACAAAACCTAGTTTGGGAAAAGCTGAATTAAGCAAGTACCTTAGTGCCACCTGTGTGCTGATATCACCCAGATCTCTGTCTCTAGCCCTGACTTCAGACCTCAAAACATGGCTGTCCAGTGACATTTTATGTACGGATGCCCTGCAGACATCTCAAAAATAACCTGAAAAATGCCAAGCCAGTACCTCCTTCTAGATTTCCTTTTGGCATTCCCATCCCCTTGCCAGCCACACTAGAAGTCTTACAATCAACCCGTTTCATATTTTTTCTCCCCCCCCTCCCCCCCCCGCCCAGCCATCTAGTCAATCACCAAATCCTCCTAGTCTCACTTCAGAAGTGTCCCTCAGACCCATCCATCCACTTCCGCTTCCGGGGTGAGCCATAGCCTTTCCATGTGTCCCTTCTTTTACTTCACCCTCGCTTCTCTGCCGGGCAAGTCGCCGGCCATGTGTAAATGTCACTCTTCCACATCACCCAGGTCCCCACCGCGCAGCCACCAGCCCAGGAAGCCCTCCCCGGTGCATCTGAACAGAAGAACTTGGCCTCTCATCTTGTCCCAGAGTCCTTTATACATAGTTTATTATAGCACTTATCACTCTGTACTTTGTGCTTCCCTGCACAGCCTCCGCTCCCGTCCTTCTCTCCCCCGGCACACCAGCTACTCAGGAACAGGTGTCCCACGTGAGTCTTCCTGTCTCCCAGCACCTGATTGGTGCCTGGCACGTAGTAGGGGTTCACGTTGTTTCAGTCAATGTCGGCAGCTAAGGAAGTCTAAAATTAACCCATTTCTTTTCTCTTTGTGCAGAGATTAGTGCCGAAGAGCAGCTAAGGCTCCTGCAAGAGGAGAAGCTTTGCAAAATCTGTATGGATAGAAATATTGCTGTGGTTTTTATTCCTTGTGGACATCTGGTCACTTGTAAACAATGTGCTGAAGCAGTTGACAAATGTCCCATGTGCTACACAATCATTACTTTCAAGCAAAAAATTTTTATGTCTTAATCTAACTCTACAGTTAGGCGCATTATGTTCTTCTCATTACCCTGATTGAGTGTGTGATGTGAACCGACTTTAAGTAATCAGCATTGAATGCCATTAACATTTGCTACCAAGTAGACAAAATGTAAAGTACGCTGCTCTAGTTTGTAATCTAAAATATGAATTTCTGGATTGGATTTGGGGGAGATATTAGCTATGTTATATATCTTATTTTTTTTACTGTTATTTAATTGAAAGCTAGGCTAAGCATCATATTGTAACTGACTGCAGTGTGTATTTGTAGTACACTAACTTGGTTTCTAAGTGTAAGTGAATTAATCAACTGAATTTCTCATTCTTTTCATATAGGCTTAACAAATGGAGCATTCTGTGTAAACGTGGAGATTAGAGTTAATCTCCCCAATCACATAATTTGTTTTGTGTGAAAAAGGAATGAACTGTTCCACACTGGTGGAAAGATAGAGATTATTTTTAGACGTTTGTCTTTGTGTTTTAGGATTCTGTCCATTCTCTTTTAAAATTACACACACGTGCTTGGGTGGGTGATTTTAAAAAATGATTTTGCCATTGTCAAAAGGGTATTTAAGGATAGAATAGCATGTAGCCAACACGTACTGACATGGAAAGATGTCAGAGCTACATTAAGTGTAAAAGGAAGTGGCAAAACACTATGTATAGAATGAGCCAGATGAAAGTGTGTGTGTTTTGTATTTGTATAGAACAAAAGATTTGAAAAGATGATGCATCAAATTGTTAATTGTGGTTTCTCTTGATGGGAAGGGGTGGGTGGGGCGGGGGTGGTTTGCAGGGGCCTTTCACTTTCTTTTTTTTTTTTTTTTTTTTTTCATTTTGTTCTGTTTGAATTTTTTATAAGTATGTATTACTTTTGTAATCAGAATTTTTAGAAAGTATTTTACTGATTTAAAGGCTTAGGCATGTTCAAACGCCTGCAAAACTACTTATTGCTCAGCTTTAGTTTTTCTAATCCAGGAAGGCAGAGCAGTTAACCTTTTTGGTGCCAATGTGAAATTTAAATGTTTTTATGTTTTTTCCTGCTTTGTGGATGAAAAATATTTCTGAGTGGTAGTTTTCTGACAGGTAGACCATGTCTTCTTCTCTTGTTTCAAAATAAATATTCCTGATTTTGTAAAATGAAATAAATATAAAATATGTCTCAGATCTTCCAATTAATTAGTAAGGATTCAGCCTTAATCCTTGCTAGTTTAAGCCTGCCTAAGTCACTTTACTAAAAGATCTTTGTTAACCCAGTATTTTAAACATCTGTCAGCTTATGTAGGAAAAAGTAGACGCATGTTTGTACACTGCTTGTAGTTAGAGTGACAGCTTTCTGTGTTGAGGTTCCCATATCGTCTTGTATCTTAAAGTTTCATGTGCGTTTTTACTGTTAGGATAATTAAGATGTATATAGGACAAAATGTCAAGTCTTGACCTAATTGTTTTCTTGATTAGTAATAGTAGTGGATACTTCTGAAATGTTCTCTCAAGATCCTTAAAATCTCTTGGAAATTGTACAATATTGACAGGAAGCGAGAATACTTGCTTAAATCTTAAAATAAAACTTGAATAGGAGTCAATATAGATAAAAAATGGAAGTTTAACAGTGCTTCCTAGAAGACCCAGGGTTTTCTTAATAGGATTCTTAAACTGACCTGTCACAGAGGTGAGTGAGGCATTTTACTGCAGAGAAACATTTGAGAGTGAAATTTCAAAGTTCTGTTTTCATTGTATATTCTAAGAGAAAGAGTACCGTCATGTTCTCCTAACCTCTGTCGATGACAATTTTCAGTGATACTCATTTAAGGCATTGCGAATTTCAGTGAGAACTTTTTAAGTTAAATACTGACTGCCCTGTTCTTGTTCCGTTGTGTAAGTTCCCACTTCTTTACCTTCTGCACATCCTCTCAGGTGTAGTTATATACTCATTAAGTTAAATTTTACATATGTAGTCTAAGCTTGGGATTTAAATGATAAGGGGAGAAAAGTGTTAACGTGTTTTAAATGCATTTTCCAGAACGTGTCAGCTCCGAGGCAGGTAGTTAGTTCAATCTAGTTGTTGGCCAAGGACTGAATTGTTTTAACATAAGGCTTTTCCTGTTCTGGGAGCCTCAGTTCATTTAAAACTCTTCTTTTTAAAACTTGTATGTTTAGAGTTAAGAAAGACCTTTTTTTTCTCCCCGTGAGCTGTGAAATGTAATGCATGAAGCTGATGTGGCTAACAAGTTTATTTTAAGAATTGTTTAGAAATGCTGTTGCTTCAGACCCTGAAATCACTCCACACTCCAACTTCTAATCAAATTTTTTTAAAGACTTACCGATGTTTGTGTTCTCACTATAAAAAGCACTGGATCCTTTCCATCCGGTTGTGCAAAAAAAATGATCACTCGCAAGGTCACAAATACAACCAGATCCAAATCTGTGCCTCCCCTTTCCCAAAATAGGTGTCCATATCTACATGTAGACATTCCTTTTCTGCTCTAGAGTCCACGCTAAAGATTAAGAAGTCACCACCTATTTTACTACATTTCAGTCACGTGAAGAGTCAAGTTGTTCCGTGATAAGTAGTTCTCTTTATTCGTAATAATTTGGTGTGCTGATCAAAAGCCTTGTTTCAATTTTTGAAAAATGGGTTTAATGTTTATAAAGTAAACTCCCAGTTTCTTAATTAATGGTTTTGTATTGCCTTCACTGCTAAATTTGGATTTTTGGGGTTTGTTTTCCCTTTTGACTAGGGGCTGAGGTGGGGTAGGGTGGGTGTAATGGGTGTGTATAATATGATTTGGCCCTGCATGTTATGATCTTGTTTTTGTTGTTACATTATTTAAATCTTGGTGGTTCTGTTCCCATTTTCATTCTAGTGGATAAAATTGGAATTTTGAGCTCTCTGAATGGAGACTGCCATCACGCCATTAGTTGCATGTGTGGGACTCCTTAGGCCCAAATCATCGATTTGTGTCCTGATTACCCAGGTGCTGAATAGGAGGGGGAAGGGGTGGAGGAACGGGAGAGCTAGGGTAGGCTTTTCATTTCCCCTAGAGAAATAAGAAAACGAGAGGGGATATTTGACAGAGGTAGTTATTTTTAGCCAACTCTGCTGTAAAAAAGAGCTGGGCGCTGGGGTGGCTCAGGCAGTTAAGTGTCTGACTTTCAGTTTCGGCTCAGGTCATGATCTCACGGTTTGTGGGTTCGAGCCCCGCATCGGGCTCTCTGCTGACAGTGTGGAACCCTGCTTGGGATTCTCTGTCTCCCCCTCTCCCTACCCCTTCCCTGCTTGCATTCTCTTCTGTCTCTCAAAAATAAATGAACATTTTTTTTTAAAGATTAAAAAGAGCTATTTCTTCCCCTATCTTACAAAATTATGAGAGTTCAGGGGAGACTGTGTATGTAAAATACCTGCTACAAATGTTAATTCCCTTCCTAGCACACCCTCGCCCATCATGGGTTTGCCTTGACTCTGGAAATTTGGGCCACCGCTTAGATGATAACTCTTTCAGTGACTCTTAACTCCTCTTTTTTGGTGTTTCTCATAGTTAAGATGTAAATTATAATAAATAGGTCAAGTCCTTAAAAATATTTAAGTTCCTTTTTTAAAAAATTTGAAAAAACTGTTCTTATCAAATTCAGGTGAGCTTTCCTAATAGAAACAACTGGCTTATTCCCACTTTCATAATCAGTTTCAGTTTGACTCGTGTACACTTAGCACAATGTGAATTTCATTAGCGGCCTAATAGAATCATAGAGGGTCAGAGCTAGAAGTGACCTTAGAGAGTATCTGATTCATCCCCCTCATTTCACAGGTGAGGCAGCTGAGGCTCAAAAGTGAAGTGATTTACTCAAAGCTGTATAGCTAATTAGTGGCAGCCCAGACTGGGACATAGTTTGAAGGTGAAAAACTTCAAGTTACCTCTCCTGGGAGGTCTCAGATGTTTATTTTTTCAACTCTTCTTTCTTCTATACCGTAGCTTTCACTACATATTAAATGACACTTTATGACTAATACCATAGGACAATCTTAAATACATATATCTTCAAATTGTACAATACTACATTAATGTTTTGGGTGGTAAGATTCTATTTTGATGACTAATGTTTGCAGATATGCATATAGTTTTTTTTGGCATTTACTACATTCTTATTGTGTATCATTAATGTAACATTTAAGATTATATAAGTATATTTTGTCATTTTCTCTATGCTTAGTAACAAATTTGCATTTTCAATTTGCTGTAATAAAGGCTTTAATGTAATTTTTATTAGAAGATTTTGCATTTTTTTCATTACTGTTATATTTTATCTAATCTGACAGAATGACAGGTTCTTATGTCATTGTATTAGTGTTGTGAATAATCATGTGAAATGTTTTGAGATAGAGTGCTATATTTGTGAATATAATTTTATGGCTTTTTTCATTTAGTAGAAACCTTTCCATCAGTATGGAAAACTAAGAAAATTGCTTTCCACTGTATAATCTGGCAGTCATCATAGATTAAAGCTTATTTTTCTGTGAATAAAACTTATTCAATAAAGCACTATTCTTTAAAATGGTACCATATTACTTTGTATTTATTTTACTTTCTCAGAAAAGCTGAAATAGCCTTCTTAAAAATAGGCAAATGAAACCCAACTATAACATATATTTTCTGCCATTGGACCAGGCATCAAGGTACGCGTCAAGTCATGGCATGTTAAAACAGACATCTGTTTTCATATTAATTTGTAGAATTCTGTCTGTGCACGAAAAGCACAGTTTTGAAGATGTATAAAAACATGAACTATAGTAACACCCCCTCTCCACAAAGATTGGCCTGTTTGTCCCAAGGGATCATATAGTCACCATAACAAATCTCGAACAAACCATTTAAATGCAGTCTACCTTTCTTCATACGTGTCAACTTTACTCTCAGTGAATATTGATAAAGATGTGAATTTTCAAAGCTTTCTCTTACAGTTCAAGCCCCAAAGAAGACACCAAAAACAAAATTTTTAAAAAAGCTTTCTCTTACAGAAATTTTCAAACTTAGCTAATCCCATGGCACTCCTCATTCGGCCTCAATAAATATCAACACTTTGCCCATCTCGTTTCATCTGGGATTCCCCCATCCCCCATCCTTGGTTCACTTGCATATTCTAGAACAAATCCTAGCCGTTGTGTCATTTCTCCTGTAATTAGAACATTTTTTACAAGCACTGAATTTTTAACTGCCCGCTATTGCTAAATTTTAATGGACATCTACACAAGAATTAAAGGCAACTTCATTCCCCCTTTCCCCTCTTTGAAAATTAGTGTAAATAAACCCCTCAGAACTGATAGTTAAAAATACTTAAAGGGGTGCCTGGATGGCTCTGATTGAGCATCCGGTTCTTGATTTTGGCCCAGGTCGTGGTCCCAGGGTTGTGGAATCGAGCCCCGTTTCGTGCTCCATCCTGAGCGGGGAGCCCGCTTAGGATTCTCTCTCTCCCTCTGCCCTTCTCCCCCTATGCTTGTGCGCACTCTCTCTCCCTCCAAACAAAATAAAAATACTTTAAAACTATGTTCTTGGGGCACCTGGCTGGCTCAGTCGGTAGAACCTGTGACTCTTGATCTCGGGGCTGTAAGTTCAAGCCCCACATTGGGTGTAGAGATTACTTCAAAATCTTAAAAAAAACAAACCCAAAACTATGTTCTCACTATATCATTTGTAGTTTGCTTATAGATGATAGAATAAATGTGGTACTTACTAAAAGTTCGTAGGCTAGGGG